CGAAATTGATGAATTCGTTTATCTTACTAATTTGTGTATGAAACAAAACCGTTTCCAGATAGAAGATTGCTTTTATGAACAACAGGAGGCAACGGCTATGGGAAACCCCTTGTCCCCCTACCTGGCAAATCTGTTCATGAGCAAATTTGAAATGGAAACCAAAGAAAAGTCAAAGTATTTTCCTACGATATGGCTGAGGTATGTGTATGGTGTTTTTGCCATATTCGATAACAAAAAATCGAATATTGAGGACTTTGTTTCTTTTTTAAACAACAGTTTCTATCAATAAAATTCACGTATGAGTTTGAAAATAAAGGACAACTTCCATTTCTTGACGTTTTGGTAATGAGGTGCCAATGTGGAACGATATATTCAGGAAGGAAATAAGTACTCAGAGGTATATTCCTGACAGTTCACATCATCGTGGAAAGCATAAACGTGCTGGGCTGAATTTTCTAGTGCATCGTCTTTTGACTTTTCCTCTTACACATAAGAGGTTCTCAAAAGAAAAACGTACACTACAGGAAATAGTAGCCACTAACGATTTCGCGAGGGGCATTGTAGATGATATTATAAGGCAAAAAAGTTTAGGTTAAGAATGAACGAAATCTCGACTTCAGAAACGACGAAAACCAATGTAAATATATCTCGGTTCCATATTACAAATACACGAAGTACTTTGGAAAGATTTTCAAGGAACTAGGTATGAAGGTGGTATTTAAAACAAGTCGTACACTACAAAGCCTTTTAGAAAATCCAAAAGACAAAGTCAAGAATTCGAAAAAGTCTGAAATTTACGAAATTACATGAAAGGACTGCGATGCAAAATATTATGGACAGTCTAAAAGATCTATTAAAATAAGATATAAGGAACACTTAGCACACCTAAAATATGGAAGACCAGAAAATCAACAGTCGCCCATCATATTTTGCAACAAAATCATTCCATGGATTTTAGTTCATTGAGATTAGTTAGACAAGTTAACAACAACATGCATCTAGATGCCTACGAGACTGTAGAAAAAAGTAAGCATAATAATAATATGAATAACGATGGTGGATCAATACCTTATAGTAAGTATACTATACAGCTAAAATAATATTTTAATTATTAGATTCACCTATTATATGAGGACACACTGTTAAAACAGTGTACCTAGCAGAGGTATTTATAGTATAAATAGGGATAACATTGTATGTATATTTAGTTTAATCTTCCTCTTGAAGATGATCGAAACACGTGTCGAGGTGTTAAAATAACTCTTTGGTGTTACTACACCAAAGGTTCGAAACAGTACATCACAAGTGCATTCAAGATTTTTTTATTGAAGGCTAAAATTCCAGAATACCTACACAGAAAAGTTACATGTATAGGACCGATATTCACAATCTGAATATTAGAAGAAAAAATGCAATTGATGGTCTATATCTATACTATCATTCCAAAATAGTAGGCACTTAATTCTCAGAAATTACTTTTGACTTTATCGACTTAATCTGTTTTTGAAATATGTGTTTGATATAATAAAATATATAGAATCACAATCTGAAAAGTTTTCGTTTTAATATTTCTTAGAATTCAGCACCTACTATTATGGATTTTAGTATAATGCACAAAAACGAAATGTTAGTCAAATGTCACTTATCAAATTGCGACCGCTAGTGATTAACCGGATATACCGAATTTATCTATGGCATTGAATCCCTTTAAAGAATATACAAAGCAGAACCTTTCACCCCATCAGTCTGAGATAATATAATTTGACGTTTTTTATTATTGCATGTTGAATAATTCTGTTTATCTTATTCATTACGAAGTCCATATATGACATTTTCATGTTCACTTTTCTTTTTTTTTTCTTACCTTCATTATTTCTAGTTATAATAAACAGTTTGAGTAGAGCCTTGATGATGATAGCACGACCAGCTGTCGAAAGCGCTCGCGTATAATTAAATAGGAGTTATAAAGCTTCAAATCCTTTTTGTAACTTATATTAATATTAAAATACTGAAAATAAAGAAAAATTAGTTGCATCAATTTTTAGAGGTAGTACTTCTAGGAGAGTGTGGAAGTATTGGTCTGTAGACCTAATACGTCTGCTTTTGTTTGCCACTATGTATTATTTAAAAAAAAAATGTTAAAATCTCTTCTATTTATTTACGATGTCATACAATGAATCATTTATTAGTATCATTATGATTTCCATAAATAGTTTTCGAGATTCAGATCATTTTCTTAATTTTTCTTTACTTTAGCTATCGTCGGTCAGTAGCCTGTTGGATGGTGATTTACATTTATGAAGCCATTGTTACATTAGGCCGCTATTTGTATCCCGACATGTTACGGAAAATTATAAAAAAGTTGGATTCGAGTTTGGGCCTTGTTGGATAACTTGTTCTCAGTTGGTTGATCAGATGCTTGTCTTTTTGTTCATTGCGCATTGAATTGAATCTCGCAGGAAAAGTAAGACCTTGTTAAATCAAACAAGTTCGACTTTCAAATTTATTCCTGAAATGTTTGAGTTGAAACTAAAGTCTAAAAACAAAGTGATTCAACACCAGACTGCAATGTTTCGACCAGCTATAGATTTCATCAGTGGTGCAGGTCTGAACAAAGAATGCATTGTTTTATTTCTTGAAGGACAAACCTGAGAAAGTGAAGACGCCATCTTTGAGATCGACAGAAACTTTATTTACGAATATCATAGATAAACAAAGTTCCCCAAGACGGGCTGTTACAAAGCCAAGCTTTGACATCGACCGCCGAACCACTGTCCTCTATCTTTCACAGTCACAGTTTTCACTGCAAAGCAAATTGTTAAAACTAGAGCCCAAATCAACGCTTTCGTGATCCAATACCAGACAGAGCTGGTACAACAAATGCAACTGTGCAAGGCGATGACAGTATCTCTTACGATGACGTCATCGATAGATCGACGGAAGACTTTTCGAGGCGGTCTGTTGCAAAACCAAGCGTCGACATCGACCGCCAGATGACTCTGTTCGACCCGCAATCATTGGTGCTAGTCTGCACCACGAATGCATTTCTGGACTCTACTGACCTCAAAGGACAAACCTGAGAAAGTAATGGTGATAACATTATCCCCGACGAAGACGTCATCTGGAGTGGTCATTGGTTGATTATGCTGGCGCGCCCTCCCGAATGTATCGGGGCTTCGGGGGATAGGGCCTGACCAGCGCACGCTACGGTGGAAAAAAAAAATAATACAATTTTATTACATTACAGTTTTTTTTACAAATTGAGTGCACCTGATCCCATAATGAGATCGTCTTGTGCCTAAATAGTACTAATTAATTAGTGTTTGAACATTTGATATGTGATATATTATAAGCCTAAATAATATAATGAAAGTATGAAGTATAAAGTAAGAAAGTTATTCGTCTGATTTCAGTGAGTACGAACCTTTGTCGCCCACAATTACAGCACTTCCATCAGCTATCATGAAATATATTATTACCTAGCAGAACATACTAATCGGTTTTGATGTACATCATTATCCAAGTCTTGTAATTTATAACCGTCTGTTATGCACCGATATCTCAGAAAACTCTACTACTAAAGACACTACTCCCTTCAATCGAGGAACGTTTGCGGAATATTATCAATATGTATTTTAAGAGCAAACTCGATATAAATACAGGGGAACCAGCGATAAATTGAACAAGCTGGAATATTACTCCAAACGATACAAAATGAGGAGTATCTTGGCTAACTGTAACAAACCATTATAAGTTAGCCACTACATATATTATTGAGAAATTAGTGAATTGCACTCAATTACTATTTTGTGAGAAATAACGGACAAAGTTAGTGCTGCTTCGGTTGCACGTGCAATAATTTCATTACGTTTCAGTCATCAATAACGGTCTCCTTCAAGGTACAGATCTAATCGGATCTAATTCAGAGGTCTGAGTGAAAACAAACAAATAATCGGAAGATTTATTGAAGAATGAATATACATACCAAAGGTTCCAAACAGTGCATCACAAGTTTCAGGTTATTCAAGCAGAAATAATGGATTTTATATATTTTAAATAAAAAATGTCCAACCTTGTCAATGTTCATGTTTCATTACATACAGTGTCACACATAAAGTCCGTAGCATTTATATGTTTTTTTATAATAGAATAATAGATATAATCAAAATTAGTTTGCTTGTGAAATGAGTGAAAATCAGCCTCTTTACTCTTGACATAAGCTACTTTGATCATGTTAAGTTTGACCATAATATTGACTACGTTATATTGATGACAACTTCGTGGTATGGCAAGATGGTGAACAAACACTAAACGATTTTCTATTATACTATTAAATATAAACTCTCTCAACTCTAAATTCCAATTCACGATGAAACTATAACCTTGTTGGATGTTTAGGAAACAAACACACATACCAACAAATAGCTACCTGAATAGAAATTCTAACCACAAGCCATAACAAAGTCACGGAACGCATGGGACAACTTTTTGAACGTTTAAACAATAAGACCATTTACATGCCAACTATTAATCAACTTCATATCAGTATAAGATCGGCCAAGGACGAAGGAGTGCCTCTCTGTCATCTGCCAGTATGTACAGGATTCGCTGTTCCTCAGTTTATATCGGAACTACCAAACGCAGCATCATAACTAGGATACAAAAACACGAACATAGCTGCAAAATCAAAACATGTCCTAGCACAAACAGGCCACGTAATAAAATACGAAAAAAATTCTGTCTAATTCAACGCATTAACACGTCCGACTTCATAAGGGAGGCCAATGAGATATATAAGCATCTCAACCATTGCACCATAAAAGAGGAAAAGTACCTATGCTTGTCAAAGAACACGTGGAACAATCAGGACAACCTTGTCTTTTGAAAAATTGGTGAATTAGGTTTGCTCGTATATGAATTATTTTTGTTGAACAACTCCGATATGATTAGTACTGGAATATATTTTTAGTTGATATAGCTTGTGTTTTTCGTTGTTTCAGAGGGAGAGGAAACAAAAAAAGCTTTATTCAGAAGACTGGGCACTAAACGAGGAAGACATCGAAGGTCAGAGAACGTTCAATTTGCAAGAAAAATTAGAAGATCCGTCATTCGGAGCTCAAAATATAGTTAAGGAAATGCATGGCAATGAACTTAATGTTGCATATTTTCAAAGGCACGGATTCAGTACGCCTTTGTTGTTCAAAGAAAAGACTGGACTAGGTAAGTGTCACATGGCAAAAATTTGATTTCATTCACTTGATTTTTTTTCTGTTGCATTAATCGGATTCAATGATGTTTCGTGTTCTCAACTGTTTTTACAAAGCATTTTTCTTTATTTTCTAATTACTAGGCCTTGTATTTTCTATTTATATAAATTAATTGTCCATTATTGGAACTGAAATATTTTGAAACTGTATGTGGATGAGAGAGCAGTAATCTATACTGCATTGATAAAGAAAGTTATATAAATCACGACTTGAAAATCAATTCGTAATGGCTGAAATCACACCAATTGACGATAAATTTCGAAAATCATTTTCAAATCAATAAAAAAACTAGATAAAATATCACACCAATAACAGTACAATAAAAAAAACGTGTGCGTCTCGGGACGCCTGGCAGAAGTGATAACTTAAACTAATCTAAGTTGAACTATTTGATATTGAAATTGTTTATATACTCTACACTAAACACTGAGCGTGTGTCCGACAAGAGAGAATGAGCCTGCCTTCCGCTATCGTATGCGTGAGAGAAAGGGAGCCAGACAGACTGGCGCTGTAACGCGTTAGGTAACAAAGTCGTTTACCCTCCAAGTCCAATAATATAACTGCATTTACAAAAACCACATATTTTATTGGCCGACTTAATTCATTTTGGAAAAAAATCCATACTACATAATGATTGATATTTGTTAGCGCAATGGAATAAAACGAATGGCAAACCTGTCCCAATTCAAAAACTTCTTGATCTTGAAACAATAGTCAAAGTTAATATTCAAATAGTTGAAAAATTCATTCCGTAAAGGTTTTTTTTCTTCTCGTCCTTTCTTACTCTTCGTAGGTATTTGATTAGAGTACCTATTATAAGTTTTAGAAACAGAGAGTAATGTGAAGTAGTGATGGAGTGCAAGGCTGTAACGAAATTGAAACTGGTTTAAAGATAAATAGAAACTTTTGCCGTTTCCACAGTTATAAGAAAACTTCATTTTCAGTATTATTATTTTTTCGTGGATTTTCTCTAAACCGTTTCAATTAATTATATTTCTATTTCTCCAGTAGTTTCCTAGAAATTTGAATTGAACTGTATTGAAATCATTATTAAATTGTGAAATTTGAAATGAAATGAAACTTGAAATAATACACGCTTTATACTTACTTGTTGGTACAGTGCCAGTTTCAGCAGTGGGTGGTGTGTGCAATTCAAATGATTAATAAATACATGATGGCTGCTGTTGCAATAGTCGTAAAGAGAAAAACCAGCGAAAAGGAATATAGTGTGTGAAAGACTGGCTAAAATGCGGGGGTACTATTCACACACCAGTTTGATAAAATGAATGAAATGCGATTAGAAATCGATGACTACAGAAACTATATGCGCCTGGATATACTTACAGTACACGCCACGGCTGATGGCGAGCGATCGCGCAGGTATAGACTCTCCCAACTAAATTACTATTGGATTACGATAAGCCACTTGCCGGCCAGTGTCGTACCTATAATTAGTTTTAATTCTGTTTTAAAAAATCTGTTTCTGTTTAAAATCTGTTTTTTCGTTAATCAGCTGCCGCCCCCATACGAACGACAACTCTCAGAAGTTAAGAAACTTGTGCGAGCTAAGGACTAACGAGGTCTTACCTTTCAACGTGTGATTCCTAACACGGTTGCAGAATCATTCCAGCTTCAACCAGATAAATTCTCTCGAGAAAAATTTCTGGTCGAGGCGGGAATCGAACACACGACCTTCCGATCGTGAGTCGGACGCACTACCACCGCGGCCAATTCCACAACAATTGGGGTAGCAAATCGAACATGACTTCTTTGTTATTTATTTTCATATTTTATTTAGTATTATAGGTAGTAGTACAGTTCATTAAAATGTTATGTGATGATACACTTACCTAAAAATAAACTTAAATCAGTCACTATCTGAATACAAATTTCCTTCATCTTTAATCACTGGATTTACCTACCTCTGTTTAAACGTTTGTGAATGTTTCATTTTTCCAATATTTCCGTTCTTTATCTACTATATGTCGACAACGTTTTTGCCATTTATCGGAAGTTATTTGATCGAACTAGTGCTCCACCAGTTTCCTCACATCTTCAACTTGACAGTTACATTCTTTTGGGACACGTTGTTTTTGACAGTAGCCCAAATGAGTTCAATGGGATTCTTATCCGGATGGTTGGGTGGAAGTCGCAAAACGTTATGTCCGAGTTCAAGCAGAACCTCATGTTCAAATTTGTATCTAATATGATGCTTTTTATTTACCTTGATCAACTCGTATAATTCGGGTTTGAGCATGTTAGGGGTGAACATAATGGTTTTTTCGTGCAGCCACTTCACCATGTCAGCCTTCCTAGAATTTGTCTTAGGGGCTGGATTAATTTGAAATGGTATGGAGCATTGCGAATACCGAACTCACAGGTAAATTTACCATAATTTTCAGAATTCATTTCTGAATGATGATTCCCTGATGTTGTACCTGATTTCAATATATGCCGACAATTAGGTATACAGCCCATGTCACCTCCTGCATGAACAATAATGAGTTTTAGTCCCTTTGCAATATTTTTGAATAACCTTTTGGTTGATTTATCCGTCTTGGAAGATGTATGTCCACTATGAAGGTATGTTTCATCAAGAAACATAATTGGTGGCTGTTGGCTACGAAAATAATTTGAAATCTTTTTTTTTTTTTAATTCTACGAAGAGATGTTTCGGAAGCCATAACTACCAAAGTCATTAATTTTGTGTTGGACCTTTTTTACCGTAATACGACACCCTTCCGTCATATGAAAGTCGTAAATAATCCGTTTAATATTGGAATACGCATACTCGGGAATATCAGTTACTGGTACTTTTTAGGCCGCTTCTTTCTTGGGGTGGAAAATTTTACTTCTCCGTTATTTGCAGAAATTATTTGTTCACCTTCTTTAACCACTCTTTCAATGGTTCTTATTGAAATACCTAATGCAAAATAAAGATTTATGTTGAAATAGTTATTTTTTAAATTTATTTAATGTTACCTGTAGCAAGAGATGTTTTGTTTTTCATATTTGATAACGTATCCGACTCACATTTAACATTTTGAAAATCATTTCACCTGCCTGATTCTTGATGACTGGTTTTTTGTTAGGCGATGGGAGTTTTTAACACGAATTATTCAGACAATGCCAAACACCAACAGCATTGGAAGACAAGTAATGATACACTACGCAAGAGCTGTAGTGGGGTTACATTGAAAATGAGTTTGAGTGCATGGGGGCGGGCTCGCCATCACGTTTGGCCCTAGCTGTATCATCTTCCATACACCCATGTTGGTAACGCAATAACAACAATCAAGCCGCCTGAACCACGATCTAAAACAAATAATAACTTTGTTGTCATACACATGCACGAGTTTGCACGACGCGCCACGCAATATCAAACTCAGCCAGAGAGCCGCGTACCGTGCCAGATATGTCAGTTTTGTGATACACATGGTACACTAGCTCTGCGTGCAAATGTGACAGTTTTGTATCACCGCGTATGAGCCGCTTCAAAGAATTAAATGTATAACCGAGATACCAACAAGAAATATATTTTTTAAATTAATTTATGTAATATTCATGAATAAATCATTCAGTGTAAGTACTATTCGTATAATTCTGAGTTGAGAAAAAACAGTTTTCTGAAAGGAATGTTTTAACTCTCCTCTTGAACTGAGCACTGAGCTGAGTGAGGTCAGCTGGTGAATGGTTATACAACTTGAAGTCCAATGAATTTCGTATAGACGTTTCTAGTTTATTCAGCGATTGTCTAAGTTTATTTGCATTGTAAAAGATGAGAGGTTGCCATGGTTCGTTGAATGAAGCACCAGCTATTATTCTAAGTGGTTTTTTGCATATCGAAAATCTTTTGAGCATGAGAGAATTTTCTCCATAAAAGAGTTCCATACATTAAATGTGAGTAATACGCAGTTAGTAATATTGGTACTTTTTCGGCTTGCGAAGAAGGTAGAGCTGAGATGATTTTTCCATTTAAGTGAATCATCAATAATTATATCTAATAATTTCATGTGCTTCTGTCTGGTTACCCTATTATTTGGACAGATTATTATTTGTTGAGCTTTGTCCCTTTTGAATTTTAAATTATTGGAAGGGAACCAGTTTACAGCTTTTTATTCAATTTCACTGGTCTTGTCGAGTTAGAGGGAATCATTGTGGTATCATCTGTGCTAGGTAGTAAGGTAGTAAGTAGGCATATATTACAAAAAGGATAGGTCCATGGGAAACGACTTTCTCCTCAGAGAATCCCCCGTTTGTGCAGATGGCTTGTTTCCTTCTAGTTAAGTATGAATTAAACAAGTTCAAGGCTGTACCTCTCATTCCATAAATTTCAAGTTTGGTGATAAGGATATTGTTGTTGACACAGTCGAATGCTTTACTCAAATCCAACAATGTTAGTGAGGTGAGTTCACCACTCTCCACATGTCCGATAACGTTTCGTATTTCCTTCCCCGCTGCGTCTATTGTAAATCTGAAAGTCGTAAATGATGTATGCGCTTGTGGTGATAAATCTTTACCATCGATTCTAGTTCTTCTGTATTGAAGCAAAGCTTTCGAACTTGTCAATTTTCAACTTCTTCTTGCGAAATTAAAATTCATTGGCTTTCAGGAAAGAGTGTTAGTTTTAATGGATAGCTATATCCGATACCAATCACAAACAGTAACGCTTGATAGTAAGTAACCTGATATGCTCTGCACTTAAATAAACCATTTCTGGAGTACCCCAAGGTAGTTTTCTCGGGCCATTAGTATTTGTCATATTCATGTTTTATTTTTCATCATGTTTAAACTTTTGTCGAGTTCATCTATATGCTGACGATTTTCAATTTTATTCACCTTGCGATTTATCTTGATTTAGAAAACTATGTGAGCAAAATAAACGAAGATCTCCAAAACATCCAAGCTTATTCTGAAAAACATGGCTTGCCTATCAACCCAAACAAAACTGGT